GTTGGTCAGAAGGTAACGTGTAAAGAGAAATATCGATGACTGTTTATTTTATATATGTTCACTACAATCATGGGCAATTACATTTTAAAACTCAAAAAGAGTTTGCATAAATTTAAGGCCTGGTGCATTTGTCTCACTTTTTGCCAGTGTTTTACGAAGTTGGAAGCCAAGGAATAATACTATTTTCTGTGAGCTACCTATTACTCTAGTTGATTTAAGACACTAATTCAGCCTTAGTATGACCTGTGGCATATATTTTTCTCATCTTATGTGTGAGGAAATTGAGGTACAGAATAGTTAAATAACCTAGCACAGTCATGTAGCTAGGAGATGTCAGAAGAATTATGATGCATTAGGCTAACTAAAAGAACAGGCACATGGTGTTAGCAATTATTAGCTTGTACCTCCCCAAAGTCAGACAAAATAATCATTGACTCCAAGTAGTAGAGCAATAGAGTCATGGTATAGCACTTGTTATCACAACATGAACAGCTACATAGATTCATTCCCCGTTACCAAAGTAGGGGAGGCATTGGAATATAAATAATACTTTTGAATTCAAGTTTAACTTTAAGAAAAGCCCATCTCTATCATGGGCATGGTAGTGCACAGCTGTAATCCCAGTAACAGGATGGGGGTGGCGGCCAAGGTGAGTGGCTCATGAGTTCACAGCCAGCATGAGAGAGAGTGGGAAGAATGAATGAATGAATGAATGAATGAATGAATGAGAGTACGTGCCTGGACTAGTTCAACTTCCAAGGGTCCCTTTCCTTACTACTTCTAATAAATTAATCTTCTATGTATAAAATACCATTAATTATCTATGTATAAAATTTTTGAAACTGTCCCCACTACCACCATCACTCATGGGAAAAACCTGGCCTCCTTGACACAAGGAACCTATCTGTACACACTGTTATAGTCCAGAAAGTAATATGCTGGCAGGTCTATCCTGATGATAAAAGCATTTTATTCAAGTCTAACTCTCCAACAAGTAGCATACAGTCTGGGACTTGTTCACTATGGCACGCTGCTTCTAATATACACTCTATTCAAATAAGCTCAAACATGTAGCCTGCAGAAAATAGGAACAGATCTGTTTTAAAGTTGCACAGATGCAAAGGTCAAGTAAAAGCAATCTAGGCTGAAACTTCAAGGCTGGAGTCTAGGCTTAGCTTCTACCCACACCATCTTCCAGAAATGGCTACAGCCTCCAGTGCTAGTGTTTCTTCTTAGAGTGACTCCCTCTGCTGCTCCAGCAAAGCCACGACCTAAATCAGAAAAGTGCTATGTGCAGTTAAGGCCTAATGGAGCACACTCTCCCTTTTCATGCTAATAGGAGAATATAGCAACACATTAGGGACAGTTATACTTAAATCTCAACAATGATACTACATAAGGGGGTTAGCCTAGTACAGCTTGCAGGCCTCCCTCACCTCCTTAGGGGACTTGTTTCAGATATATTGGCATGGTGATGATGATCCCAGGGTACAAAGATAGATACTTTAAATGATCTTTTCCCTGCTTAACTCTAATGTTTATTATAATGGAATGGTTTCTTTGTTTTACTGACAGAATCTGGCTTTGTTATACAGGCTGGCTTTGAACTTACATTCCTCATGTCTCAGCCTCCTTAAGTGGGAGCCTTAGAGGTGTAAACCACCACACTCTGCCATGATCCCACATTTATTTTTAGCCAGGTGGTTGAAGAGTTTGTTCTCTGAAGACTTTTAATTGTTCTCTGAGTTCGAACACACAGAATTACTTGTCTAACAAAGGCCACCTTGTCTAGTTTTCTTTATTATGACTCCTCATAGTGAACGCATAAATTTGCCCATCCAGATGAGCCATATATGAGAGAATAGTCATCAAACTTGGTTATCATCAAAACCAACTGTCAATTTGGAAAACACCAACATGCATAAAGTCATGAAAGTACTTTCTTCCTTAGTGGAAAGAAATGTGTTACTTGTCTTAAAAACACTAAATTTATGCAATAAGAGAATTATCTCTGAATAGACTTTTTAAAATTTCTGGTCTGAATTTGGAGGTGTTAGCACACATAATACTAGTGGTGACAGATAAGAGGCACATTATGCTGTGCAAAGGTAGGAGGCAAAAATTCATACACACACACACACACACACACACACACACACACACACACACATACACCCCTTGCCTTTCCTAGTAAAAATCTTTCATTCTTGGATGTCAGGAGCCCTGAAAATTTCCTGGAGTGATAGTTTCCCAGCAAGCCTCAATGAAACAATTAGAGCATGGGCAGAGAGGGGAAAGTTGTTGCCTACAGCTCAGAGAATTTCCCAAGGACCTGTTTAACATGACTGCTGTCTGTCTTTAATCCACAGTTGCAAAACTCCCTCACTCATAAATAATACTCACTCTGTTCTTCTACAACTGTGTTGTGGTTGGTTTTTCTCCTCCCTTGGGCTGACTTCAACTAGAGATCTATTTTCAAAAGCTTCTCATTTTCACAGCACTGCTTCAGCAGATTATAAACCTTCTTCACATTGTAAAGTACTTAATGAATGTCTCGGTTCTAATTGCATATGTACTTCCATTCATAAAAAAAATAGTCCACTGGGGTCATTAATGTATCAGAACAAGCAAATGGTACCTTTAGGGTATGTGTGGGAGCTCTAGTGTAAATTGGAGAGAAAGGAGATACTGAAGAAAATGGGAGCCTGCTTACCAGACCATCCTACAGAGACTGGAATAAAGTGTTAACAGCAGGTCAGTAGTAAACAGGCCTGGCTAATGAGTAGCAGCCACAGGGACAGTAGCTGATAGCAGATTTCTGTGCCTTACACTTCCTTTGATGTCTCACAGATAACACAGGAAGAGCTGGTGCTCTGGAACATGGAGGGTAACAAAGATAAAAGTAAGAGTCCATGCATCTCAGACCATGTGATTTGAAGAGAAGAAAAAAAAATGTTATTCTCCCTGAAAGAGAGTGAATGGAGAAAATCCACACCAAAACCTCATACACCCAGCCAGACCTGCTTTTCTTTCTCTGTCTCAGAGCAGAATTAATCCTCAACCTTTGACTTGTCTGGTGTAGACCCAGAAAACGTGCAGGAGGCAAAGCTTGTCCCCAGCTCCATCCCTCTCTCAATAGTCTCTGCTCCTCTCTTTCAATATTAATCCACTTACAGTCCCCTGTTTGATTATCTCCATCGATCCTTCTCCTACCCAGTCTTTTTAATTTGGCTGGTGTAAGCTCTCCACGGGGATCCTGCCTCCTTTTGGCATCTTTGGAGACTTTTAACTTTCCTTCCCCCCACCCCAGAACCCTTCCCTTAGCCTGCCTTTCACCCCCCCAATGGCTTAGTCCTTTGTGCACTGAAAAATGACAAGGAATTCCAGCAGGACTAACACAGCTGATTCCAGAACCCTTAATCAGGCTGCCCAAGTAGGCTTCCTAGGATCCTCCTCTAAGCATCCCTGGCTAGTGTCCTGAGAACTTCTGACCTCTCTCAAGAACTGTGTAGGCTTTCTAGCACAGATTTCCTTGAACACAGTCAGATGTGCTCTGGACACGTGCATAAGAAAACCAGAGCTGACCCACAAGGATAGGAAGCATCTGTCCAGAAAGGAAGGCAAGATTTATGAGCGTGGCCACTTAGCAGTGTAGCAGGAACAATTTACTCCCTAAGTAGCTATCTCCGATTCACACTGCCTTGCTAATCACATACCTCTTCTTGAGGACTAAACTTGCCTGGCCTCTGGGCTGGCTCTCTTCTGCTTTCAGCACCCACCTCCCTGCATGAGTGCCTGTAGATTTTAGGAAATGCAGGCTATAATTGGGAGAAACCGGTCTGTGGGCATCATGGAAGGAGTCAGGGCTGCTGCTCCTCCTCCCAAACTCTCCAAATTCATAAGGAAATGGAACAAACCAGACGTGTGTGTGTGTGTGTGTGTGTGTGTGTGTGTGTGTGTGTGTGTGTAGGGAAGGGAATGGTCTTTGAGCTGGTTCTGAATTGTTGCCTCTCTCTCTCCAGGCAAAGCTGTGTTGCCTTCTGGCTAGTGACATTAAATAAATAAATAAATAAATAAATAAATAAATAAATCTCTCTTAAAAAACGGCAAAGAAGGATTTGGGTGGGAACTGGTTTGGATAAGTCTGGGAGCTGCATCGCTCCCTAAAACTCAGTGAACAAGAAAGAAGCTTCCAAGATGACCCTCAGTCTTGCTGTCTCCCCTCCGCCCTTACACATTCCCAACTCTGGACCACTGTCCACCTACCCTGACTTTGCTCAGAGTTCCACACACTTCGAGTCTTACATCCATTAAAATGCCAGTTATAAACTGGTTAGCAGCGTTCTTTCCCCCAGAGAGTTGCAGATTTGGGGTGAACAACTACAATCTCCCACTGGAGCATCGGGTTTGAAGTTTTTCAAGGGTCTCCTATCAGGAGGGGGGCACGAAGAGGTTGTGAGTGGAGAGGCACAACCCGGAGCCCGTCCTTTCTTGGCGAATTGAGGATCTCCATAGAGCCCCATCAGCAGTCTAGGGGCACAGGCGCCTATGGGTCTTTGGCAGTAATGGACATATTTCCTTAGCGGAGGTGGAAGAAAATCCTGCAAGCCCAGCCACCGCGCACAGCGGGGAGCCTCGACACACTACACATATTAGGGTGCACACCACAACACCACTATCAGTGCCTCTGGAAACCTCCGGGTGCACATTACTCAAAACCGTGCGCTTGTGGGTCTCAAAGTGCTAAAGACACTTCAGGATCCCACAGGCACCGAGGCAGCAGCTACACTTAACACACCCCGGGTCCATCCTTACCAGCTCCTTAGCTAAGACTGAAAAATCTGGTTTCTAACTAGTTGGGAAAGTGGGATTTAAAGTGGTTTCCATTGGGGGCAACCAGGCAGATGAGGAAGCAAGGAGCGCCGGGGACAAATAGAGGTAAAGGAGAGGAAAGACAGAAGCAAAGGGAGGTGACCGCCGCGCCCTGAAGACCCCCTTACCTTGAGCGGCCGAGCCGGTGCCGCTGGCGCTGAGCAGGGCCAGGGCAGGTAACACAAGCATCTGCAGCAAGTATCCTAGTCCCAGTCCGCAGCGGGCCGCTGTTGCCCTCAGACCTTTCCTCATCGTCGGCAGAGGTGTACCGGGAAAGGGGAAAGCCACCAGGAGACGCGCAAACAGCAGAAAGCCCCGCCGGGCAGGAGGCTGGATCTGGCCACCGCCAGGCAGTCCTGAGAAATAACAGCAGCCCGAGTGCCACACTCCACTTTCTCCAAGGGCAGGGGCCAAAGGGGGTGGAGAGGAGCCTCCGAGGAGGAGTTTGAAGGTCCCTCGTCCACTGCGCCTAGCCACTGACGTCTCCCGCCTGCTAATGCTCTGCCCCCACTCGGGAAGTGCAGGGAGGAGCAGCGCGGCCACCACGGCTGCTCCCGCAGCTCCGCCGCCGGCCGAACGGGCGCTGCTCTCGGGTCCCCGCGCCCGGGAGGATACACAGGCACCGGGGATGGGGTGGTGGCGAGAGTGGGAGGAGAGGCGAACCTGCGAGGTGCTCCTGGCTCCAATCCTTGTGCTTCAGTGCGGGAGAGACTCCGAGGCTGCCGCCCGCCCGCCCGCCGACGGTCCCAGTGACTGTCGCCTCCAGGAGTGGGGCGAGCGGGGGGTCCTGGGTGGCGCTCACAGAGGAGGCGTGGAGGGCGCGGCCCCACTCCGCGCGGGGGGAAGCGGCGGCGGGAGCGCGCTCGCCCGCCTTATGTAAGCGAGGATGGAGCGAGATCCACGCCTCGCGCGGAAGGTGGAGTCCACTGGGTTCACTTGCCCACTTGATCACTCGTTCCAGCGCTGACAAGGGACACCTGGGGGCAGAGGCAACCGTGGCCAGGGGCAGCACAGCCTCCCGCCTGGCGCCAGACTCCTGCTCCGCAAGCGCTGCGGGCGCGCCTCAGGCCACTTGGCCGTGTCCAGCGGAGCTCAGCCCACCGGCTGGCAGTGTCCCTGAGCCGGCCAAGCCTAAGCCAGATGCCCCAGGACTGCACTCGAGCTAGGATTTAGGGAGTTGCGCTTGATTGAGCCGGAGGCAGGCTGGAACTTGTTCACATAGATGGGAAAGAAGGCATTTGCAGTGGCTCAGCCCACTATCTTTGGGTTGTCAGCGCCAGTCAGGCTGTTTTATGCTCTGCGAGCCTGTGACCTATTTGTGGTGGAACAAAAACTGGAAATCAATGGAAACTCCCTCGGTGCTGACTTTTTTTTTTTTTTTACTTGTTCATCTTGATGGCTGCTGAGATTGAACATTTAAAGAGTGCCGCAGCAATACCAAGAGAAACTTCCCCCCAAAAGACAGAACAAAATTTGCAGATACTCAACTTGATGTTGGCGCCTATAACTTAGTCTCTAAATTCCTAACAGCGAGGAGAGAGGACTAAATCTGCTTCGATTCAGAAAGACATTTTTTGGAAGTAGTTAGATCGTGAATTCGTGATAGAAGGACGAAGGAGGAGTGTAAGGTTGAGTGGATAAAATAAGGCCAGTCTAGACAAAAGGAAGGCGAATGTATGAACACACCAGCTAAGCTCCACGGGATAGCATTGTGTGAAAAATCCCTGATGCTGCTGAATTTAAAACTAATACTCTATCCTGTAAAAGTTCAGTTTAAAGTGCGAAAGGAGCCATGTGTAAAAGCACAGGACAGTTCAGAAAGGAGGGCGGATTATGATTTCAAGTCTAATTTGAACTGTGGTCAGAACTGTTGGGGTGAGCAGGCCAGGTAACTTTTGCATGTCTTGATTTTTTTTTCTCTCCAAAATACTCTAATCTACATGCCTCGTGATTCTGCGTGCCTGGCACCATTGAAACCTCTACCCGTTATGTATGTCTTGGATGAATTTCACAAAATTGGGAAGGTCACTCTTGGGAGAGACGTTGACAAAATTAGTCTCTTTTTATTTCCATGGAGACTTTGCCTGCCACTTTAAAATCGCTTAATTTTCTTAAGCTTCCCCACATGGCCACATCAGGAAATGTAGATAGTCAGGTGCTGGTGCCAGATGGGTAGATCAATCCACAGTGATTTACTAGCTGGATGGTGTGGCTCAAAAGACCAAGTGTCTCTGCTTTCTAGTCTGTAAAGTGGGTTTATTAGAAGCAATGAGATATAAGGTTTCCCGAGGTTTGAGTGTGTTAAATACAGGTAAAATGCCCAGCAGTCATTGTTGACTGATGTTCTGATCTAGAAGACTCTCAGACTTTCTTGCTACCTCAGCTTGTCTTGTTCAACAGTACTTTCTTCCGTTAAGTTCAAGAATTTGTTTATATCCATGTTCTCAAAATTATAATTTATTAGCTTCTATGGATCTAAGTGCGGGTTCTGTGAAAGGGCAATTTCTAACATTTATGTTACTAATCATCCCAATGTAAATGGTTTTATAAAGACAGTGGTTACAAGGGGGAATGGTGCTAATAACTAATCAATATCCTGTATTGATAGTGCATCACCAGAAGAGGCTATGGTTAAATCTAGTGGTTTTCTCTATAACTTTCCCAAGGAAGAATAAGAGCTTAAAGTTCAACAGCGAAACCTCTGTGCAGAGTTAGTCTCACGTAAAGAAGATTCCAAAAGTTGTGACGTGTTAGGTGTGGTAGGCCATGCTTTTTATCTCAGAACTCAGGGGGCAGAAACAGGAGAATCTCTGTAAGTTAGAAGCCAGCTTGGTCTACATAGGGAACTCCAGAAGAGTCAGGGCTACATAGAAAGAACCTGTCTCAAACAACAACAACAACAACAACAACAAAGTTGTAGAGTTATGCAGTTAATATTTATACCTGTCCTTTGCTTAGGGTTAGGGTTAGGGTTAGGTTTTTTAAATTAAGATTTAATTCATTTAAAGCAGATACCCTCCCTTGTAGATCTTTCCAAACCCCACTGTTAACATAAAACCTAGTCTCTTGGTATTCAGTCAGGATTGGTTGGCTGGTTGACGAAAAGGATCACCTGGGAAGAATCTTCAGTGTCTAGGACAGATGAGGAAGGTTAAAATGATCACATCTGCTTGCTCGGGTCTTTGAAGCACTCAGCAGTCGATACTGCATGAAATTAATTCCTTAAAAGCACCAGTCAGCGATAAGGCAAAAGAAAGTAGTTCAGTTCTGAAATTCAGCCTAAAGAGGGCAGGAGCATGGTTTGAGAAAAGATGTGATGTGTGGCTACGAAGGGGAAAGAATAGAAGATAGAGGCAGGGCCCTAAAGCACCTGTGAGCAGCGCAGCCCCAGCAATGCAGGCAGCTACACACTGCCTTTGTATAGGCATTCTGTCTAGTGTCACTGACTGTCACAGTTTCATCTCCATGAAAACAATAACGCAGTGTTTCAGATGCTGCTGAGTGTGACTTGCTCAACCTCTGAGATCTGGGCACACATATCTCTGCCTAGAGAGAAAATAGAAGGAAGTTATCAGCCTCCATTCCTTTCACCCGATTGGCTTATCCAACTAGTGCTCACTTCACATATCTGCCCACGTATCTGAATGCTTATTTCATATTCTATATACAGGTATGTGCATCCACAGATAAGTGCAAGTATAAATGCTTGCCAATAGAATGCATGCCTCTCAAGGGGAGGGTATTTCCCCTATTATGCTCAGCACTCTGCCTGAACTATAGAACACAGCCTAGCACACAGTCAGCAAAGATTTCTTGGGTATTGAACAGAGGACTAAACATGAGCCAGTAGATTTGAAAACTGAGCCAAGACCTGAATAGCACCCTGTGCAATTTCAAACGATACGTAGGCTCTTCTAACTGTTGAATAAAAATCGAGTGTGAACAAATTTGAACCCAAAGTGTATCTGAATGTGACCTTTCAGGCTTAAAATAATGCAGGTGTTTAAGGAACCAACGTGAAAAGCATCTCACTTTTGAAAAAATAAAAAGCTCCGTTTCAATCCATATACAAGGGCTGCCTATTTCTTGGCTCCAGTAAGTGGAGAATTAACTGTGGGATAATAAATCCCAGTGACAGGTGCTAATGGGAATTAAGCATGCAAATCCCCTGCATATCCCTCCAGAAATCTACACCAAGAAAAGTATGCTATTTAGCATGTGGGCTTCTCAGTAATAATAGTATTTACTCTAAACCACTATGGAAAAAGTTTCCAGTGCAAGGCTGAAATAAAATGAACTGAGCATATATTTTCATCACAGAAATATTTTCTCTCATTTTTATCTTTGTCCTTATGTTTGATTATTCATATTTTTATATTTAATGGATGTCTAAAAATAATTCTCTGTAGTGGGGATATTATTAACTGGCTATATAGAAGCAGTGTTTTACCAAATATGTAGGATGACAGTTAGGAAAATCATTTCTAAGTAGGATGGGGGATGGGTGTGGAGACCTCAGATAACATGACTGGTAGAACTCAGGCATGGCAGACCAGATGGTCCAGAATCAGCTGATTCAATCCCAGTTCTCTTCTTCATCCCAGAGAAAGAGACTGAGTCTCTCATAAAAACACACACATTGAAACTTGGTGCTTTTTGTTAACTATATTAAACAGGATTCTTAACAAGGGAATGCAACCTGCCTTAAGCAACCTTTAAAAAGAAGTGATAATTTATCACTCTACCTAACTGAAAAGCCATAGATGGGGGCCAAATGTCTGTGTTCCCAATAGCTAGCATTTATGGACTGATTGCTATGTATAATGTATACATCTCAAGGGGAGGACATTTTCCATATTATGCTCAGCACACTGCCTAAACTATAGTACACAGCCTAGCACACAGTCAATAAATATTTCTCGGGTATTGAATAGAGGAAGGAATATGAGCCAGTGAGTGATAATTTCTATGCTCCTTGGGGTCTATCTTGCTTAACTCACACACTGAATATTGAATAGAAGTACTATTGTTGTCAAACTCCATTAATACTGTTATAACAAAATATTGAAAATGGTAATATATGAAAAGCACAAATGCATCTCCCTATAATTGTGAAGACAGTTAGAAAATCTAAGAAGGTGCTGGCAACTGAGGGTTCCGTCCTGCTGAGTCATCAAATGAATTGGTAAAGAAAATGAGATGGTTTGAGAGAGCAAGAGTAGGTGGGCCTCTCATCTGTTTATTTACCAAAA